AAAGTGAATAACATTGTGTTTTCTTACTAGTCAGTCAGTTAACAAGCAATTATGAAGTACTTGCTATATACAGGTATAGTGCTAAGCATTTAGGATACAAAGAAAGGGGAAAAAAAACACAGTTTCTGCCTTCAAAGAGCATACATTCTAATTGAGGATACAACAAGCAAATAACTGTATACATACAAGATATATTACTAGCAAGTGGTAGGGACTGGCAAAGGCCTCTTAGAGAATGTGGGATTGGAGCTGAGTCTTGAAGGAGGCCAGAGAAGAGAGGGGAGTGGCTGTGAGAAGGGAGAACATTTCAAGCATGGAAGATAGACAGTGAAAAGAAACACAGTGTGGAAAAGAATAAAGTACAAGAGGATTAGAAAGGTAGGAAGGGCTGTGAAAGACTTTCAATGCCGAACAAAAGATTTCATATTTGATTTTGGAAGTATTAAGCAACTACTGCAATTTATTGAGTAGGGAGGGTGACATGGCCACACCTGTGCTTTAAGAAAAACACTTTGGCAGCTGAGTGACACAAGGCAGGAAGACTTGTTAGTGAGAAGGTTATTGCAATAATGCTGAGATGAGGTGATTAGCACCTAAACTACAGTGGCGGCTGTGTGAGTGAAGAGAAAAGGATGTTGTTAAATGTCTAGAAAGGTTGTTGTTAAGGTAGAAACGACAAGATGAGAACAGATTGAATATGTTGAGTTCATGTAGTCTAATGGCTAGAGACATAATCCCATAGCCAAAAGGATCTGGACTCAAGTCCTATCTTTAACAGATATAGACTGTGTCACCTTGGGCATCACTTAACCTCTCAGTTTCCCCTCTCTCAATGACTATAAGGTACAGAGCAGATTCCAATCTTCATTGGTATATGGAGCCTGCAAACCAGGAGTATCTTACATCAGTGAAACCACAAGTCACTGGTTTAAAAAAAAAGTAATCAGTTTTCTAAGAGATTTTCCAATTTGGGTCCTTTTCTTCTGTGGTTGGTATGACCCAAGCATAGAGAGGGGAGTCAGGAAGAAAACTAACCTGTAAGTGTTGAAATGGAAGAAACAGGGGTGGGACAGACATGATGATTGTTAACAATGAATTATACCAGTATTTTGTCCTTAATTTTCAAGTTTTCCTCCAAAGAATTTGGAAGGGAACTTTCTTCCTCAGAGATATAATTCAAGACCTTTCATTCTCAGCTTTAGATTCATAGAACCTTGCCTGTGCATGTTTATATGCACATGCTCGTGTGTGTGTGACCTCACATACACATGCCAGTATACATGGCATGTTTTATAAAATCAGGCCCATGGCACAGCATTGTAGCCACCACATTTACCTTCACTTCCATATTTTATAGCTGAAAAAGCTATTTTCAGAGACATTAAACAAACTTCCCTCAAAACACCACCCAGAAGGGGAGGAGAACTCACTAAGTCCCACATTTCACTTCACCAGAAGGACAGAGAGGGATCTAAGATGTCCTACATGGTCTTTCCTACTCTGTGATGATTTTTCCCAGACCATATCTGCAGCCTTCTAAGTCCCAACTGTTGATTTCACACTTTCACTGTCCACTTTTATCACTCTCCCTCCAAAGTGTAACAGCTCCTCAGCACAAAAACTCTACCATGCACCAATCCCAATTCACGGGGAAAAGTTATACCTAATCCACTTGAAACTTGCAAAATTCAAAAAAAAGGAAAGAGTGAAGAAAAGAGTAAGAAATTAATAAAAGATCAGCAAATCCCAGATATTCTTAACAAATATTTCTATACCACCTCAGAAAGATAGTTGCCTCTCTATAGTAATAAAGGGGACATTTCAGAAGAAGGAATCATTCTGTGAATTTCTGCAGTAATAGTTTAAAGAATAGAACTTGTACATCTGTAGATTTTTATCTGTATACAAATATGCAACCTCTAAATTTGATCATTCTCTCTAATACTTACACTCACACAAACTCATATCCCTACATATATACACACATACTCACATATACATATACTCACATAATCCAATAATTTCTAAGTATTTAGAAAAGAACTGCTTTAGTTTGTCTTTTCTCCTTTTTTTTTCCTCTCACTTTCTCCTCAGAGATTTAGAAAACAAAAGTGGCAAAAAAGGAAGAAAATTAAAAATGACACGTTTAAAATATTGGATGTCTTAGGAAAGGCTTTTTTATTATTATTGGAATGGCAAAATATAAATAGCTACCACATATCCAAATATTTTAAGGGTTTGCAAAGCACTTTCCATAGATTATCTCATTCATTTGATTCTGACTACAACCTTACAAGATAGGTGCTATATTATTCCCATTTTACAGATTAGGAAATTGAGACTGAGAAAAGTGAAGTTCCTTGTCTAGGGTGATTCTTATCATTTTTATAACCCATCAGTAGGATTTACAAAGTTTTCTGGACTCCAAAGGTCTTCTAGCATTCCACCCACTAGCCACCAACTGCCACATGGACAATTTCATTCAGGCAAAATAAAGGAAAATAAGGAAACTCTATTTTGTCCTTTACAAAAAGTTGGTGATTTGATTCTTCAGAGAACTTAAAATACTTTTTCTTTCCTTAAGTTCCATTTGCCTTCAACTCAGGATATAAGCAAATTGCTATACGATATATTGCAAACAGAGGCAGATGTGGCTTTTTAGATAATACATATCCTAAAAAACCTTCTATCATTGCCATGTGATAGATAAAACCTTGGATACTCTGCTGATATAGAGACTCTCTCTATGCTGGCAAACAAGATGAGACTTATTGAAGAAACTCAGTCAAATAGCTGAAAGAATCTGTGACAGCCATAGTTTAGTCTCTAGATTAATTTGTTAACTTGATAGAATTCACTGTGAGATAAGTGAAATTTGCTCAGAAGAGTTTGATTGTTATCATTATCGTTGCTGTTACTATCATAGTTATATTAAATATTTATTATAATAGCCCTGGTGAACTCAACCAAATAAAAATTAATTTCAGAAATCTCATACATAGTTGGACAAGATTTTAAAACTGCATAGTATCTGCTAAATTACAATGTAACAATCACTCTTTACTAATTCCAAAAGAAAAATCTGATTAGTTTGGAACTTTTCTAAAACACATCTAACTGTCTTGAGCATATCTAGAGCATATCTAACAGTGACTTAGTTCTGAGTGCAAAAAGATTAGATATGAAATATCTTCTTATACTGGAAAGGAAATAAGATGAGGAAAGAAGAAAAGGGAGGAGAGAGTATCTTATTGAAGGAAATATAACTGTATCTTAAATCTTTGTTTATACAAAATCTACGGAAATTCTTCAGAACCACATGCAAAACTCACCTTTTTTCCATTCACAAAGAAAATCAGATCATCAGACTGATGAGAAGTAATAGAGGTCATTATCGTAGGAAAACACGACTGCTAACCTCTAGCTTTTTATCACAGCAGGAGAAAGTTGCAAAGGATTAAGAGAGTAATTTCTTCAACAACTCCTAGGCATCAGCCTGTCAAAGTGAGAATAGCAAAGTGTGATTTGTATCAACATCCTGCATCCAAATGAAGCAATTAGTGTTGCCTCCCACAATGCTGGTGATTCACTTAAGTTACCTCCCTCTTCATTTACATATTTTATAGATTCTTCATTCATGTCCAACGTGGATGAGAAGTTTCTTCTACTCAGGAGAATCCATGTAAAATGAAGCAATAATAATACAAGTTAACTCTAACCATATATTATAAATACAACTTAAATTTTAAATGGCTATATTTTTAAATTTTAATTAACTATTATATAAATCTATAATACCTAATATTTAACTTTTAATACTTTTAAAACTCAGTACTCTGACTAATTTTCACCTAAGTTTGGGTGGGGAGGGTTTCAGAACAAAAGGATATTTTAACATTAAAATACTTCATAATAAATTTAATAGACTGAAAGTATTTAAAATCTAAGAATTATAAGATTTAAGAGCTTAAAAAGGCCTTAAAGAGCATTTAGTGAAACCCTCAAATTCAGAAATTGAGGGCCACAGAGATAAAATGAGTCATCCAAGTTGATATAACTGTGACAGACAAAGTATTTGATTCTCGGTTCTTTGATTCTAAATCCAATGTTCTTTCCAGAGGCAAAATGTTCAGAGGTGTAAATGCCAACAAATAATCATCTCCACAAAGATGGCCTATTTTCTTTATTTTCTTCACTGTACTGATTTGTTCCTTAAAATAAGTATTTCAAAGTACAAATTGTTTAGATTTATCAATTAAACTATTTACATTAAAATGAACAAAATTCACATTTTCCATAAATCATTTCTTCAGAGAAAAAATGTGCTCCACACCCAGGAATGAAAATTGGCAATCAATACTAGGGAAAAACAATTAAAATAAGGAATAAATTCTCGATTGCACAAATTTCCACAAGAAGAAACTTATGGTTGCTTATATGTCTACTGAGGTGTCACAGAGCTAGAAGAGCAGATGTAGAAACTGAGGCCCAGAGGGCTTGTATGATTTATGCAAGGTCAGACCGTAGTGAGTAGCAACATACTGATAAGCCAATAGCAGAGCTGTAATCTGAACCTATAAGACTGTCGATTTTGTGCTCTCACCACTAGACAAAAAAAAAAAGCAAGGTAAGAAATATGAAGAGGAGATATTTATTTCTTCCTCCCCCACTCCTTCCCATTCTCCTACTTAGTAACCAGAGCTTTGTAGTGTTAAGAGTAGAAGCCCTCAGGGTATATTTCATTTAATTTCATTTTCAACAAACACTTTTTTAGCTCTTACTGCATGAAGGCAAACTGTTAGGCATTTAGTATTAAAAAAAAATAATAATAAAATATCCACTGGAAAGGAATATACATTTACTGGGGGATATAGTAGGCAGAGATCAGATAAGTAAATAAGTAAGGTGGACAGTGGGCAAGCAGTAACAAGGAAGGCTAACAAATTGAATTATCTGGAAAGGTCTTATTTAAGAAGACATTCTTGGGATTGATCCTTAAAGAAAAAAGAGATTCTAAAGAAGGAAGGAAACAATCATTTATCAAGAGAGTGTCCTTTCTCAACCTTTCTCCATAGCCAAGCTGTTCAGTTTCATTTTGTTTTTCTTTCTGGTTATATTTTAATCAGTTAGATGACCATCTTCCAAGTGAAGGATCAGCCTATTAAGGAGGACCCTGGCAAGAATCTTGCCAGCAATGACTGAGAGACCCCCCTGTGATTTTCACAAGACTATCTATTTCCTTTACCTTTTTAGAGATGGAAAATGGAGGCATCCTTGAACTCCTGGGGGATAACCTCCTCTTGCTATATAACCTGGAAAATTTCAGTCAGTTTTAGTATGAGCAATGGACCCCCTACCTTGTAGATCTCAGCTGGAATAGAATCAGCACCAGGTGCTTCGCCACATAAAAAGAGCCTGATGGCATTCAAAACCTCTTCTTCAGTTAGAACATCAGCTAGGGAGGGATTGACTTCAATCTGAGATAAATGGTCAATGGCTTCAAGCATTGACGAAACTGAAAGTCTACAGAGTCATTTTGCTGGCCTCGTTGTTGTATGCCTGTGAAACCATGACAGTATACCAGTGCCATGCAGAAAACTGAATTGCTTCCATGTGAATTGTCTTGGGAATATTCTGAAGATCCCCTGGCAGGATAAGATAGCAGACACTGAGGTCCTTTCTCAAACTAAACTTCCAAGCATTCAAACTCTACTTCAGAGAGCACAACTACAATGGGCTGGCCACATTGTTCGAATGCAAAATGTAGCTTGCCAAAAAAGACTATTATATGAAGAACTCGCAAGGGCAAGTGTTCACATGGTAGTCAGAAGAAGTAATACAAAGACCCTCTCAAAGTTTCTCTCAAGAATTTTGGGAGGGGTGCTAGGTGGCACAGTGGATAGAGTTCTGGCCTTGGAGTCAGAAGGACCTGAGTTCAAATATGGCTTCAGACACTTGACATTTACTACCTGTGTGACCCTTGGCAAGTCACTTAACCCTATTGCCTAGCCAAAAAAAAAAAAGAATTTTGAAACGATTGTGTGACATGGGAGACACAAGCACAGGACCTGTCAGCATGGCATGCCCACATCAGGGAAGGTGCTATGCTCTATGAGCAAAGCAGAAGTGAAGTAACTCAAAAGAAACATGAGATGTGCAAATTTAGAGACTCCACCCCTGGTGTTCATATGGACTATATGTGCCTGACCTGTGGTAGAGCATTCCAAGCTCATATTGGTCTCATCAGCCACAGTTGGACGCATTGTAACTTGACTCTAGCATAGTGATGTCATTTTGGTCCTCCTCAAGAATGAAGGACAACAACCAACCAAATTGACAAACAATATTTTAATCATTGAGTACATATTATTGTCCTGTTTTTTCTTGCTCTACATTAATTAATAGAAGTCTTAAATGTTTCTCAGATTTCTTCATATTTGTCAATTTTTATGTCACAATATTATTCCATTTCATTCCTGCAGCACAATTTGTTTAGCCATTCCCTACTGATGTATACCTTCTTTGATTCCAGCTGTTTGTTCCCACAAAAAAAGTGTTAAATATATATGGGGCCCTGCTTTCTATCTTTGACCTCCTTGAGAATATATGTATGTATGCATGTATGTATGTGTGTGTGTGTGAGTGAGTGAGAGAGAGAGAAAGACAGAGAGAGAGAGACAGAGAGAGAGTGCAAAATCAGTAAGAGCTCTGGTCAATTTATTTTCATTTTTGACAGATTCCAAATTACTTTTTCAGAATTGTTGCAATAATTCATAACTTCATCAAACAGTGTATTGGTGTCACTGAAGATTCTTGAGCTGGGCAATACCATGGGCAAACTTGAGTTTTAGGAAGATGATTTTGTCCATTATTGGACAATCAGATTGGATTAGAGTGGGTAGTGATCAGAAGCAAGAAACCTATTATCTTATCATAATCCAGATGAGAAATTAGAGGTGATAAGGGCCTGAACTGGAGTTGTGGCTTCGTGGGAAAAGAGAGGGTTCAGAGACAAGTTATGGCATGGAGATAGAATTGACAAAATGATGATTGTTTCGATACAGGAAGATCCAAGAATAACTCCAAGTTTACTAACTTGGGTGACAGGAAAGATGGTGATACCTTCAACAGAAATAAGGAAGTTTGCTTGCAGGAATGGTTGCTTCAGTGGAGAAGATAATGAGTTCCATTTTGGATATGTTGAGTTTGAGCTATTGATAAAATGTCTAGGTGGACATGTCTAACAAGCAACTGGTGACCCTAGACTGGAGCCCTAGAAAGATATTAGGGCTGGATATGTAGATTTTGATATCATCTGCGTGAAGATGATTGAACCTATGGGAGTTGATGAAATCACTGGGAGATGGTATAGAGAGAAAAGAGAAGAGAATCCAGGATAGACACTTGGGGAACACCCATACCTAGTGGGCAGGAAACCTATAATGATCTAGTGGAGAAACAAAAAGACTGAGAAAAAGCAGTCAAGCAGATGGGAGGAAAACCAGTGAAGATCAGCATCACAAAAAAATAAGAAAGAGTATCCAAGGACAGTATCAAAAACTGCTGAGATTAGATAGGAGGACAGATGAGAAAAAGGGACATTTTGCCATTAAGTAATCTTTAGCAACTTTGAATAAAGTAGATTTAGAATGGTGGGGATGATGATGCACATTTTTTAAAAAGTGACCATGAAATGGAGGAATACAATCATAACTTGAAGGGATGGTAGAATTAAGTTTTTTTAAGGATAGAAGAGGTCTCTATATGTTTGTAAACAGGGAAGGTGACAATATAAGAAGTAATTGAAGGTGAAAAATTGAAAGGCATATGGTCATTCTGATGAATGAAAATATATTTCTAAAAAATATTTGTTACTCACTTACTACCCACCATAACTCATTCTCAAAAATCCCATATTTAATTTCTTGCCAGTTTCAGTTCCCCAGACAAGTCTTATACTGAACTGATTTTGAGGATAGGCAGGTACTATGAAACTCCCCTCACCTCTCTATTGATTCTATCTTGCAAGTTACCAATGACCTCCTTCTTACAAAATCCAATGACATTTTTTTAGTCCTCAACATTTTTCACCTCTATGCAGAATTCAGAATTGGTGACTACCCACCTTTTGAAGCTTTTTCTTCATTGGGTCTTCATAACACTACTCTAACTTGGTAATCTTTATACCTCTGATTGTTTCTTTTCTTTCTCCTCTTATTCCTGATGCTTCCCTACTGTTTTAATTCTTGTAATTCTTGGTAAGTTGGATCTTCCCAAGGTTCTTTCCTTATTTTTCTACTCTACTTTCTATAGCTATTCCCTCACAAGAGTTCATTCACACTCTTGTAGAGAACATATTTGTTGAGATATAGCCCAAGTAGGCACTCAAATCTGTTTTGGTCTGAAAGAAACTCCTATCTAGACAGAGTAAGGAAAGTTGAATCCAGAGATTGCTCCTTTCCTGACTAATGCTGTAGATGTGGAGGCCTCTGGGGAACAGAGA